TCATCATGAAATGAACAAATCTGAGAGAGGTCCACATGTAGTACCTATATATGTAATATCAAAGCAATTGGACTTGCGGTTTTCAACAAGAAGTCGAAAATATCACTTTTTACCAAAAATGACAAAAATATTCACCAAAATTAGAGAATTAAAGATATCATTACAAAATGAACAAATCTGAGAGAGGTCCACATGTAGTACCTATATATGTAATATCAAAGCAATTGCACTTGCGGTTTTCAACAAGAAGTTGAAAATATCACTTTTTACTAAAAATGACAAAAATATTCACCAAAATTAGAGAATTGAAGATATCATCATGAAATGAACAAATCTAAGAGAGGTCTATCCAAGGTACATATACACCAAGTATCAAAGCATTCAGGCTTGTAGTTTTCAAGAAGAAGTCGAAAAAGTAAAACATTGACACGGACGACGACGATGACGGATAATCACTCATATGATAAGCTCCGCTCGACAAAGTCGACAGCGGAGCTAAAAAAATTCAAATAAAATAATTATAGTGTATTTTTAGCCTTCAATGGTTTATCCACACTTACAAACAAACACAGAAAATAAAAACCATGCGTGACAAATTTATCTGTCTCTCTATCTCCTTATACTGATTTGATTTGTTTAGTTTTATTCAAAGGACATTTCTTAAGTCCCATGAATTATTTAAAAAAACTGTTTCAAATTTTGATCTCATGAAAGATCACATCCGATAATGGTGTTACCATGGAAATAAGCATTTTATTCAGTAACAGCTATATTGTAAACTGCATTCAGTTTTTCATAAACAAATTATTACACGGAAGATTTCACTTCAATGACACTGGATTTTGATGCAGTCAACATGTGGCAATTTGGTTCATAACATTACTGTATGAAAAAAATGTCATTTATGTGAAGGTTTTCCTATTATTAAACAAGCAGCCTATCGGCTGAGATAGCTCCGCTGTTAGCAATGCACATTTCAATTAAAGAACAGAAGATATCATTAGAAAATAAACAATACGTATAGTATCAATGCAATGGGACTTGCTGTTTTCAACAAGAATTCAAAAATATCATTTTTCTCCATAAATGATTGTGGTTTTTAACAAGAAGAAAATATTCACCAAAATTGGATAATAAAAGATATCATTACAAAATGAACAAATCTGAGAGAGGTCCACATGTAGTACCTATATATGTAATAATATCAAAGCAATTGGACTTGTCGTTTTTAACAAGAAGTCGAAAATATCACTTTTTACCAAAAATATTCACCAAAATTAGAGAATTGACGATATCATTACAAAATGAACAAATTTGAGAGTGGTCCACATGTAGTACCTATATATGTAATATCAAAGCAATTGGACTTGTGGTTTTTAACAAGAAGTCGAAAATATCACTTTTTACCAAAAATGACAAAAATATTCACCAAAATTAGAGAATTGACGATATCATTACAAAATGAACAAATTTGAAAGTGGTCCACGTGTAGTACCTATATATGTAATATCAAAGCAATTGGACTTGCGGTTTTTAACAAGAAGTCGAAAATATCACTTTTTACCAAAAATATTCACCAAAATTAGAGAATTAAAGATATCATTACAAAATGAACAAATCTGAGAGAGGTCCACATGTAGTACCTATATATGTAATATCAAAGCAATTGGACTTGCGGTTTTTAACAAGAAGTTGAAAATATCACTTTTTACCCAAAATGACAAAAATATTCACCCAAATTAGAGAATTGAAAATATCATTACAAAATGAACAAATCTGAGAGAGGTCCACATGTAGTACCTATATATGTAATATCAAAGCAATCGGACTTGCGGTTTTTAACAAGAAGTCAAAAATATCACTTTTTACCAAAAATGACAAAAATATTCACCAAAATTAGAGAATTAAAGATATCATTACAAAATGAACAAATCTGAGAGAGTTCCACATGTAGTACCTATATATGTAATATCAAAGCAATTGGACTTGCGGTTTTTAACAAGAAGTCGAAAATATCACTTTTTACCAAAAATATTCACCAAAATTAGAGAATTAAAGATATCATTACAAAATGAACAAATCTGAGAGAGGTCTATCCAAGGTACATATACACCAAGTATCAAAGCATTCAGGCTTGTAGTTTTCAAGAAGAAGTCGAAAAAGTAAAACATTGACACGGACGACGACAACGCCGCCGGACAATCACTCATATGATAAGCTCCGCTCGACAAAGTCGACAGTGGAGCTAAAAACATCATTGCAGAGTAATGAAATTTTTCTATAGAGTATTGTGATAGATAATATGTAAATGGGTGCACATATTATTTTACAAGAGAAGGGAGGAGGGTAAGTTAAATTACATTAGAGATATAGGTCATTGATTATCATCTGTCATCACACCAACATACATGTATGCAGATTCCATACAGCACCGACATGACCTTTGGTAGGTCAAAGGGTATAAATTCCAGGGGTAAATAAATTGCATTGAAAACATTGTGTCAAAGACCCACACTAAACATTCATCTATTTTCCAGATTTGTGTAAAACAAAAAGTCTTTAAAACATTACTCTATTAGTAGTGAATATGTTTTACCTACATGACAGAGGTGTGTCTCACCATATGTCATATATCAAGTACAACATATAGTTTCAGAGAAGACATTTTTGCAAATTTGTAACAGACATTTTCACTGGGTTCTTTACGCAAGGAATCGCAGCATTTCAAAAAATGTAGTCACAACACCATCAATTAAATTACATTATGAGGATTGAACATCAACAGTTTACAGTGATCACCTGACTAATATAGACTAAACACTACACTACACTACACTCACCACAGAATACTAGTCATGTTACATGTATAAAACGTGTTATGGTTGTGCATATCCGTCTATAACCAGGATTTATGTTATTACATGTATATCACATGATCAGGAAAGTATAGAGATGTTTTAAATATATCGCTGCAAAGATCAACAAGTAAAATCTCATGCTCTAAGTTACTGGATGATTAACAAAGTTAATGATTTATTAACTACACATGTATCTGAATCACCTTGTTTGAAGTCTTTGACATAAGCAGTTACACTAATACAATTAATGAAATATTCAGAGCATTGTAAAACAACGACAATGACCTCAAACAGTTCATCAATTTTTAATAGAAGTATTAGAAGGATACTAAACGTACTGCTATGTATATATAAGGCACCAGAATAAAAAACGTTTTCATCTACATTCAATATGATATGAAGTATTCATCAACTTTTCAGAACCTCTGGTTGATAACAGCAAAAACAATTATTAATTAACTTTCTTAACCCAACCAGGGTCTGTCTCAACATCTTATGATGATGATTGAAATGAAATATTTTCAATTAATAAACCTTGTACTATCTACATGTTTTTACTTTTTACCTCAGTGTTCCATAGCTACCCACAATGCATCTGACAAGGCAGAATATTTTGGCAGATGAAAAAAAAAAAAAATCTCTGTATATTGATAAATTTATCAGTATTCAATAAACTTTTTTTAGCCAACTCTTGGTAAATTGAAAACACCCCATTGGAACACTAAAGTAAATAATACACTTAACATAGAGTACCGGGATATCTCACCTGTCGGTACTGCATAACCCGGCGATGACGGAATAGTTTTTGGTGACGTGGGTCCAAGTGGCACATTAGGTGATCCTACACGTATAGGAGACATCATCCCGACACCAGGTGAGCGGCAGGTAGGTGATTTGGGAGATTTACTTACTGGTGAACCGATCCGTCCCACGCCCACTCGTTTTTTCTGTAAGAAGCAATTATATTTTCTAAAAGTACAATATATAGATGCTCTCACTGTGCCAGGAACAACTGAGTTTATAATGAGCGCAATGTGCAACAGCAAAACGGTAATAAAAGTATAAGAACGCTCATAGCTAGAGACGCACAAAAGTTATCACAAGTAGGATTATACATGTACGTGTATATGCTAAATGGTGCTCGCTAGACGATAAAATATTATTACTAAATATAAAATAAATATCAAAGTTGATTTATGCCATTCTGATTATATAGAGTTACTGTGGTTTATTTCATTTTCACTTAATGGTTGTGTCCACCATTCACAATGAAGTTAGGGGATCAACTAGTGACAATAGTCATTATGCTGTACAGATAGCTCGTTGGATTTTCGTATTTTATTGGCTTCAGAAATTCTGAATGATTGTAGAATTGTTCTTTTTTGGTGCACTAAAATTTCATCCACCTCAGTGTAATCATGAGTCTTACCACACATTGATTTAGTATGTATAGGAACTTGTCAAAGAGATAAAATAAAATGATATTCCCATCATGCAATGCACATGAGAGGTGATAAAAATACACTCGCTTCCTAATGAAACAAACACAGAAGAAGCGTAGGTGAATCGGCAGAGTGCGATGCAACAAAAGAATAGAGATCACTTACTGGAATGTCATACGGAAGAGTGTATTTCCTAGGGGAAGTGGGATTATTGATTGGGGCACCCTGATCAGTGTTGCCATAGTTACCAGCTGCCATCTTTACATCTTTACAGCCCTCACTATCAAGCAGTGGCATAGCAAAAGAACTCAAGTCCTAGAATATAAGCGGTGAGAAGGAGAGAAATACATGAATACAAGTAGACAGTATGCTTTTGAGCAGAGAGAAACAGTGAGTGTTTGTCGTACACAGCGTGTTCTATTAAAAACTCATGCACTGATGCATCGTCATCTTGATGTAGAAGGGTACATCGGAGAAGTCACATTAGTACAATAATTCAGTTTAGTAGTTCCTATTGACTGGTTCCATTGTATGCCCCAGTAAGCCCAGGGTGCTCAGACTACACATATGTGTTTCTGCTAATTCATTGACACCAAAGGAAATGAAATTGTATTAAAATTTGGTTACAACAGATTATTTTGTATTCATCACCACCAAAGCTAATTGGAAACTACAAAAGACTCTGAGAAAATGGTCATTGTTTAAAAACATATAATACAGAAAGGTCAATTAAGGTAGCTTAATACCTTACCCTGAATTCCCCAGATTGTGATGAATTTTGATGTACTTACAAATATTTCCAATCAACAAAAATTACATTTATAAGTACAAAAGTATAACATTTGGTGGAGGTTACTAAATGACCTACAGTCTTATGACACAAACTGTATCAGCTAGTCCCATACAGTATGCGAGTATACATAGCATTAAAGATTCCACACGAACTATTAATCACTGCATGAAAATTCTGCGATTTGTCTGTCTTGTGTAATTTTTCATTTGTCTCATTTAAATAAATAAAGGAATTTTCTTTAGCATAACAAAGCATTTTGATATACATGTACTTGAATAACTATGAAAACAAACACTGACTAGCTGCAGACTTATTAAAGGGGTACAGTACAACCATAGACCCTCTACTGGAGGGTCTATGGTACAACAAACAAAGTTTTATCAACTGTTAATAAGGTACAAAGGATGCCATTAAAAATGTACTCTGAATGTACATACACATATGATAGTATAGAGTACAATACGCCTCAAACACCAAACTAGGTACACACCATGCTGCAGCCTGATGCAACAAGAATCAAAAGAAATCATCCTGGGTGCTGGGAAGCATCACAGTTGAAAGAAATCATACATGTACATTACAAAAGCACACTGCAAATATAGCTAGCCCAGCATGGAAACACATTAAAGGTTATATCAACAAGATTAAACCAAATTGTGACTGATGTAAATATTACATTTAGAATGATACATGTATACTATTAAAGCTTACTTTAGAAGGCATGGACGACAAGAAATCCTTGGCCATACTTTAACTCCAGCCAAAGGTCAGTCTCAGTGACAGATTAGAAACAGATAAGGTCAGAAGTCAAAAGTTACAAAATAAAATTCATCCCACTCGCAAATTCATATGCACAAATATCCCTACTCAAAAATAATATATCTAGCAAGATAAAAACAAACAATGATTTTGGAGCGAAAAGTCTGTTTATTTAACGAATGTACATGTATCTGGTAACCCAATTTGGAAGTCCCCTAATTAGCATAACAATATGTCTGCCTTTTTGTGGTTGCAGCAATTACATTTCATAACGTACATGTATGCAGTAATGAACAAGAAAATGTCATGAATTATTTAATTAATTAATTAATGAACTAATTTACCTAATAATGATTCAATATACACACTAATTGGGTTTAACGAAGAAAGCAATTTAATTTATTGCAAGATCATTTCAATTAAAATTAATATAAATATTTTAATAACTAATGGTGTCACTGAAGGTATCTAAGTATAAAGACTACCACTGCTATTAGTGTATAAAAGACTATAAAAATGTTGTTCGGTGATTACAGTTTAAGCTCAATTCCATAATTTGCTGGATGAAACAGTTGCCATGAAAACAGTTGCCATGAAAACAGTTGCCATGAAAACAGTTGCCATGAAAACAATTCAAAAAAATAAATGGCACACCAAAATCAGGGCTTTTGATGTAGGAAGTCAACCAATAGAAGATGAATGGGACATGGCGCAGTTACTCAAACATGTACAAGAACATACATGTACATAATTCATGTCATGTAAGGATATTCAAATATAAAGTATACATTGAATCCTTCATAATTGTGTATGATACTGTGTAGTTCTATAGAAACTGGCATGGTCTACAATTCAGACTGGTAATCAGTGCATGTATTTGAGAACTTACCTAACCTGAATCACAGTATTCAAACTG